CCCCCCCCCCTCCTTCCTCCCATCCCCCCATCCCCTCTTCCTCGTAAAAGTCGATAGGGGATCGTTATTCGCGACTCGCTCTTCCGATTCGGCAGCAGCCGACTAGGCGTCCGCCTGGCGGGCTGGAGGCCGCTTCCGGTCGACCGTGAAGCTTTTGTGGAAAGTCACAAGTTCCGAGTTAAGTTTCGCAAGTATAATCGATTAGCCAGTACCGATCAAGTTGTCGCTGCTCGTGAAGTAATAAAAGGTTGGTTTTAGAAAATTGGAGCAGCCCGTTACAGCCAAGTGGGTGCCCATAAAACAGACTGGGGTTTATCGTGAAATCTGCATGCTCGTAAATGATCTCTGAAAAGACGTTACCGCGAGACTCCCAGTAGACGAGCTAGTAAATACGTTTCGAGAACACGTTACCTTAGGTTAGGGTTGGGTTGGGTTAGGTTAGGGTTTCGAACTTAAGAGCCATGACCGTTACGTAGTGCTCTAACGTTACGTGTGGAAGCCATTGCGATAGGATAGGAGGGAGCCAGTCACGCTAGGTCCATTACTTTTATCTTTTTCTCCTTAGATTATCTGTACCTTCCGACCAATAGGGAATTCGTTGACGGTATAATTAAGTCTGCTCAATTTCCGGAATTTACAAAAAAAAATGTTCTAATCACCACTAGCCAAAGGAAGCTTGGAGACTTTGGGTCCTGAGAACTCGGCGAGATGGAGAGGATAGATAATGAAATTAGGTTTAGAACTTTACTCTAGCGAAGCCTTACTGTATCCGTACGTTACCACTCTCCCTTATCAAGATCGTATCTCAGCATCTCCGGGAGCAGCAACATCGACCCGGCTTGTTTCTAATTTCTATCAATCCTCATTAAGATAACGTTGAGGCATCGTCGAGTTGGTCCAGTTTTACTTAGCTCCTCCTTCTTTCGCATTGCAACTTACCTTGCGACTCCTGCGAATCCTGAAACAAATAATTCCTTCTCATGTTCCAAGCGAATAATAAGCTTTTCGCTGATAGATCGAGTTAAACAAGTGCGAATTTACAGAACGGGATGTCCTATACTGGATTAATTAAAGCAACAACCCGGAGGGAGCGAAATTCAATCAAAATGAATAGAGACACAGAAATAGGAAGCGGACCGACAGGATTCTCATAAAATACATAAAGTTTCTTCAAGTTTCTAGAATATATATATATATATATATATATATATATATATAATCTTGTAAATAACTGGCAAAACCTCTCGTCTTCGTTCTGCCGCTTCAGTTCGCCGGGATATTTAATCCCAACGTCAGGAGTATATTAAAGGCCTTTACTTTCAATGCGAACAACAAAGTCTAGAATTACATCCGCACTCGGACACTTCGACAGTCAGTCAGAGATATACGCGGCGGGATAGGTTCACTTCTGACGTGTGGATATGCAAATAAAAAGGCGACGTGGCGATGCGATAATTGGACGCAGAAAGTGAATCGCGCGATAAACAGAGAATTCCCTGTTTGCCGTAAGACTGGCCTTGCGGTCACATGTCGCATCTTCGGTCTTGCGACTTGCGACTTGCCGTCTCTCTTGGCTCTTCGGCTTCTTCGCTTTGCTCGTGTCGAGGCGCAACGTTTTAAAATAAATTCCTGCCGGCCAGTCTGGCCTCCTTCATTGTCAATGGCAGAAGCCGCGTTTGGCTGCCACCGACCGTGGCCTACGTCGCCGCATCGCCGCGTCGCCGCTCGACTTGGTGCTTCTTACTTTCAGTAGCGCCAGTCCTTACGCAATTCGAATCGACGTTCGTTTTACACCTCGTGACGTTTTCACAGTTATTTCTCGTATCGGTAGCCCGTTGCTCTTAGCTGTGCATACAGACAATTCACATATGTATGTATACTCTCGACTTCACAGAGTGAATCTGACGAGCAGTCTTGAAATTCGTCAAAGTTTAAATGACATTTTGAAAAATTGCCTCAGTGACTTTTACATTTCCACGTTTCCACGGTGCTCCTCGTTATCACACGTTCGAGTTTTGCTATCATCCTTTGCTCAAACCTCTCGAGGGACTTTGGCTCTCGGTGACTATGTAATCGATGGAAAGTTTTCGAAGACTCTATAAAGTGCCAAAAGCGTCTCGATCTGGTTATTTATAAACGCTAATTCGTTCGGTTAATGCGATTTAAATGTTTTTTTGATATTTCGCCAAAAGATCTACATTCAATTTGCCTACATAGTTGACTCTCATTAAATATCAAGTGCTTTTACATTTTCATTAGAAATTTATTAAA